GCCGCGGGCGCTGCTGCCGGCGGGGCGGGCCGGGGGCGGGGGCGGCTCGGGGCCGCCTTCGTGCGCGGCGGGGCCGGGGCTATCCCATCCCCGTTCCCATTCCCGTTCCCAGTGCCGCGTTATCCCGCACCTTCCATCCATCCCATCCATCCCATCCATCCCATCCATCCCATCCCATGGCATCCCGCAGCCCCATGGCCGCCCCCCGCCCGGCGCACGGCTGCGGCAGCGGAGCGCTGCTGGGGCGCTTCGGGGTGCTGCTGCAGGCGCTGCTGGCTCTCTGCGCCTTCAGCACCCTCATGCGTGAGTACCGGGGAGCTCGGGGCACCCGCTGCCCGCGGGGGGACCGGGGGGACCGGCGGCACCTCGGGGCTGGGTGCCCATTCATTGAAAAGCACCAAGTTTTGCGCTGTGTCCCGGCTGGATTTGGGAGGAAGGGAAGCGCTGCGGATGTTCCCGAGCCGGCGGTTGCAGCGCCAGATGCTCCTTCTTAAAAACTCCCTAATCTGATGGTAATGAAGCTCCGCGGAACGCGCGGCTGTAATCTGTTAAAATTGGCTGCGCTTGTGGGAGCCATTGCTCAGTCACTTAGAAAATTTTAATGAAGGGTAAAAAAACTATTGGTGTAACCCCGCGAGTTGCCGGGGAGGAGCTGACAAAAACGGGGCGGGTGTCCGACGCGGCGCTGCGAGGTGAGGGTGATTTAATTGCGCCGTGATACTGCTTTGCTTAATTTTCCCTTCAGCTGCGCAAATTTTTGGGGCTCGAGCGGCTGGGGAAAGAAGTTACAGAGAGAACGTGTTTTGTTACTGGCAAAGGGGTGGTGGTGGGAGAAATCGGTGAGAAAAATCACCCCGCGGTGTGATTTCCAGGTCCAGAGAGAACGGCCTCAAGTTACACTGTAGAAAGTTCAGAGTGGGTGTTTGGAAAAGCTTCTTTCCCGGAAGGGGAAGGCATTGGAACAGGCTGCCCAGGGCAGCGTGCTGGAGCCACCGTCCCGGCAGGGATTTAAAAGACGCGTGGATGTGGCACCTTGGGACCTGCTTTAGTGGAGGACTTGGCAGTGCTGGGTTAATGATCGCGCTTGATGATATTAGAGGTCTTTTCCAGCCTCAGTGATTCTGCGATCCTGTGGAAAGGTGGGGAACACTAAGGCTGAATGAGCCTTGAAAATTTACTGTTGTTTTGTGCTGCAGCTGTGTTTTGCTCAGAGCAATGTGTGTGTTGCTGCTCTTCAGGGTTAAGTGGTTTAGCACAAGTTGAATCAACATGCCAGAGCTCGATCTTTTTTCCTTGTTTAAAAGCCTGTGGTGACAGTGAGCTGAAGCTTCCAAGTTTTCTGGCTAAGTAGCTGCAGATTTTGAGGTTCTCTTCCCCCCCGCCCCCCCGCCTTTTGGAAACCACTTTAAAAGGCTCCAGTGCTGTGGTTAACGCCAGGCTGCCAGGGAAAACTGCAACAAGTTCTTCCAGTGATAACTGATACCTTCTTCCAGCTGGAGCAGCCCAGTTGCAACATGCCACTGCTTGTGTTTCACCAAATATTGACAGTAAGAATAGTGGTAATTTCTTTTTCTATTCCAGTTCCCCCTAGTGATGTGTGTATATGGGTTAATTGCCTCATAAACTCCATAGGGTGTCCCATAAAATCAAGGACTTGGGTAAATCATGTTGGAATACCTCTGTGGATGAGGCTACATAACCTCTGCCAGAAAATCAGCAACCTTGAGCTAACTGCTGGTGCAAGGGCTAATATTTCTGTGAACATTAACAACCTCTTGATTAATGAAGAGAAACCGAAAGCTGATCCTGTGTGGTTTGGTTGTGACTCAGCTGTGGAGGAACTGCTGGCTGGGACCCCAAGAGCAGATGGATGTGTTTACAGCCCTGGGATCCCAACCACAGCACCTCCTCTGGCTGCAGCTGGGCTGGTGGTCCCTAATCCACCCCAGCTGGTCCTTATCTGTGCCCCAGTCACACACTTCCAGCTGGAGGCTTCCTTGGATCTGCTGGAGGGGCTGTTTGTGTGCCAACTCTTAACCCATGGTGGTTGTGATGGGTTCACCAGTGGTTTTATGTTGGGTTGTTTCTGTGGCACATTCAGCTGGCAGCCTTCTGGGAAGGAGAAGGCTCCAGGGAGGCATGGAAGCCTTTGGAGCTGAAACAAAAAACTTCCTGGGAACTTTGGTTGTATCTTCATTGCATCCAGCCAGGCAGTCCCAGCTGGGTGACTGCATCATGTAGAATTTAGGATGTTTCTATTGTTGGAGTCAACTCCTGGATACTTCTTTTCCTCAGTACTGTGGCATTTTTGGTGTGTGTTTCTGTTGGTTTTATTACTGTGATTTCTGCTTTCCTGGGATGTTGCAGGCTGCGGGTTAATAAGTGGAAACAAGGTCCGTGAAGATGGTGAGGCCCTGGAACAGGTTGATCAGAGAAGCTGTGGATGCCCCATCCCTGGAAGTATCAAAGGCCAGGCTGGATGGGGCTTGAAGCAACCTGCTCTAGTGGAAGGTGTCCTTGCCCATGGCAGGGGTTTAAAACTGGATGTTCTTCAAATCCCTTCTGACTCAAAACCATGGTACAGAATTCCTCCTGTCCAAACCCAAATCAATGCCTTTTCCATTCCTTCTACTTTAAAGTACCAGCTCAGCTGTAGGAACACCTGGATTTGGATGGATAAAATTCCCAAATGGTGCAGATACTTTTCAGAGCTCTTGAAAATATGTAGAGGAACTCAGACTAACAATAAAGTGGCATTCTACAAAGTTTTGCAGGTGTGTGTGCATGGGATGTGCTCAGAGTATCCCTCTTGAATGTGGGTCCCAAGCATGGTCATTGCAGGGGCTGTAAGTTTGTTTTTATCAGAGCAATTTGTGTCATTAAATTTGTATTTTTTGGGGCTATGGAAAGATTCTCTCCTGCCAACCTGGTAGGAAAACCTAATGGAGGAGGAAATTAGTCTTGCATGATTGAGTGGGGTGGTTGCTCCCCATTGCAGTGGATTTTGTGAAATGGGTCCTTTGTGTGGTGTGGTAAAAACAGGACCCAGAGGTAAATGGTGCCCAGCCTTGGCAGGGAGTCAGGACAGCTGTTTAGTGGGGTTTTGTTATTTTGTCAGCTCCCATGAGCAATAATGATGACAGTTCATTTTAGCTTACAAACACTCTCTTGCTTTCCCAGCAAGATCTTTAAGGTTGTAGTCAAGCCTATCCCAGTATGAACAGGGCTTGCTTGCTCTGGTGGCAGCTTTGCCTCGTTTGGGAGTCAAATGGCAAAGAGGTGTTACCCTTTCCACCTGCCTGGGGTGGCTTTGGAGGCACTTTGGCTGTAAGGACACTCCTAGAACTGAGACACAAACACTTGAGGCAGTGGAGCCCAGCAGCTGTGTGTGTGTGGCGATCTGGATTCCTGTGCAAGAACGTCCCCTCAGGGAGGTCATGACCCTGAGGAGTCGGGATAATTGTGCAATCCCATCTGAAGCATTTTGTGATGCTTTTTCTTGAGCATCACTCAGCTGAGTGAAGGAAGCTCGTTGCAGATGTCTTAGTTGCAAGGGCTGGGTGTGCTTTTGAGGACTGAGTCCCTGCAGTTGTTGCTATTCATTGAAACCTTTTTTCTTTTGGGGAAGGGGTTCTAGACTAGCAAAAGTTGTCCAAGTTTGCACAGAGGACAGCAAAACTCTTTGAAATGAGGGAAGATATTTTGTAGAAATTACATCCACAACCTTATTTGTGAATTAACTAGAGTGCAGGAGAAATTAATTTGGGGAGTTGAAGAATTTTTGTCTCCATTGTGAACAGAAAGTTTTCCCTGGAGCTGGTATACTCATTTTCTTCTCTACCACGAACAATGTTGAGGACATGCACAAACATTTGTTTCTCTTCCAGCTTTTTCATTTTCTGAAACTGTCTTGGCAGCCCTCTGAGCTGCTGAATGAGGTGTAGTAACACTTGTAATGTTGGTATGAAAATAGATTTTTCTCTTGGAAAACACTCATATTGCCAGGCAAGAAGAGCTGGACTGGACTGAGCTCCCACAACCCAGTGGGAAATCTGGTTGTCAGTTTTGCTTTTGAAAATGTCTTTATGCTGACTCCTGTGACAGCAGTGTCCCACTCTCTTGCATGTCACTGCTGGAGACACTCTTCCAGCACATCTTGCCTTGAGCTAAGAAAGCAGAGTTGTTTGCAGTAGGGACCCTGGTGCTGACCCCCAGGCAGGACTTGGTGCTGGAGATGCTGGGATGGTGTTTTAGACACTGCTCCAAGTAGTTTGTCCTGAGGCAGAGCCACAGAATAGGAATTTACCAGACTTGCTGTAAAAGAAATAGTGTCTCTGTGGTAGAAAACAGTTGTTAAAGAAATCAGAAGTATCCCCTTGATCTGTGGACTGTGTTTTCTTGATCCCTGTGGGTTTTCCAGCTGAGCTTTCAATGTTGATTTTCTCCTGGGTGGTGAAATGGGTGAGAGCATCCTCATGTTGAGAAGTGTCTGACCTTTGAGAGGGATTCATGGAACCTGTTGCACTCATCTCCAGCAGATAAATCAAACTTAACCCACCTTTTGTGAATTTTAATTAGGCCCTGTAGTTGATAGGAAGAGGGGCAGTGGTTTTAAACTGAAAGAGGATAGATTTAGCTGAAATATGAGAAGAATTTATTTACAATGAGGGTGCTGGAACACTGAAACAGGTTGCCCAGAGAGATGATGGGTGCCCTATCCCTAGAAATATTCAAGGTCAGGTTGGATGGGTCTCTGACCAACCTGGTCTAGTGGAAGGTGTCCCTGTCCATGGCAGGGGGTTGGAACAAGATGACTATCGAAGGACCCTTCCAACCCAAACCATACTGTCATTCTGCCCCAGTGCTGGGTTCAGGGTGGTTGCTGTATGTAGTTAGAAGTGAAATGCTGTTTCTGTGCTTCAAAAGAATCCTGAGTGCTTTCTGGTTTGTGTTTTGACTTTACACTGAAAATACCTCATGAGGGTGGGTGGAAGTCCATGTCAAGAAAAAGAAGAAAGAAATGCTAGAGCATTTGATCTGTCCAGACCTCCATGCTGTTCTGAAATAAATCTGCCCAAGACACAAAAACACTGCAGGCTTACCATGCCCGAGACATGCGCTGCTGACTTTGCTTGCTATCACACAAGTGCATAACTGTGTGTGAGTTTAACTGTTCACACACAAGAACACTTAAATTCCAACTTCACCTGTGTAAATGCTTTTCCCTTGTCTTAGTTTAGGGCAAATTTGGGAGAAAACTCCCAATGGGGTTCTCCCAGGAAAACAAAATTTAAATGACCCCT